ATGAATCTTTCTTTTCACCAGAATTGTTTTGCATCGCGTTAAATATGTCAAAAACCTTATCGGCAAAACGATTTTATCTTTATGATACAAAATGCGAAAAAATAAATATTTTGTCTATATAGGATACGTTTTTTATTGTATAGCATAGGATAAATAGTAGCACAAACCTATGTTCGCTTCGTTTGCTATCATTCGAATTGCTTTTTTCCCATCGAGGACTTTTGATGTCGTATTTATTGTGCGGATTTCGAAAGGTGTGAAGAAAATTACAGAATTTACTGCCTTTCGGACATTTGTTTATGCCGCAGACGGCACCTCTCCAAGATGTGAAGTTGACGAATTCGCAATTGAGTTGTTTTCCGGCGTACCAGCGTCCTTTTAGGTTTCTCCAAGCTCTAGCCGCTTCTCTCTCCGTGTAATATTCAACGTACACATTACCGCGTAAGTGAATCTCCTTGTTGCAGCAACACTTAAGGGTCTTAATACTGCCGAACGACTCCAGTTCAGTTATTACGTCTTCATAGAACTCGTAAAAGTGATGCAATGTTTCTGATCTCTCGAATTCGAGTGCTACATCAGTGTCGTATTCCGCTAAGTTCTTCTCGAGAGAGAAATGTGAATAGAATCCGGGTATTAAAATCATTCTGCTTAAAAAGAATTTACGATGATTCTTGGAGCACGCATTTCCATACCTAAAGGCATTAAAAATATATTATACATAAATATAAATTTTAAAAACAAAAATAAAAATACAATTTTAACTAAAATTGATTTCAGTTTGAATAAAACGTTCCAATCTTAAATCTAAACTTATTTCGATTAAATTTTAATTTAATTAAATTTTAATTTAATTTAATACAAATATGACTCTTAACTATTTTTTAATAGCTTCAAATGAAATAATTTTGAAGCTTGAAAAAGATATGGCATTCTTATATCAATATATTCAGTCATTCATCTATATCCACTAGTAATTCATATATCAATATATTCATAAAAAATATTGAATTTGGATACATTCAATATACTCAGAATTTCAATATTGTTAAGAATGAAATAAGATTAAGAAATCGTGATATTATAAATAATATTGTGAATATCTCTATCTATACTAACCGGCAAACACCTGTTTTCGAAAAAAAGGGACAGAGTTCCTTGGTAGGTTGATTGTCGACGATTTCGCGTAAAACTTCAGGCGTTTTCACTCCATTGTCGATGTAATCATTAATCTCCTTCTGCAGTTGTTCTTGTTTACGAAGTTGTTCCTCTTGTTTCTTCTTTTCCTCGTCTTTTTTCTTTAAAATTGCCGCACGTTTTGCTTCAAATTCTTTACGAATCTTCATCTCTTGCTCAAGTTTCTCTTGCTCCTCCTTTACTTTTTGCTTCTGAAGTTCTTGCCATTTTTTCTGTGCTTTTATCTGAACAATCAAGAGACAGTAATCAATTATTTGAATTATAAATTTAAAGCAATATATAGTTTATTTCAAAATCGCGTATAGGAACAATATTTTTTTTTATCTCAATAAATAATATCTTCCTGTTAAATTATTATATTTCTTATGAAAGAATATAACTTAGGAAGCAGAACAAAATTTGGAAAATAATAAAATATTAATTATATATAATAAAAATATTTTTACTTATGTTCATTGATAAAACAGAATTTTATGTAAAAAGACAATTAGATGTTGTTTTTTCTTCGCTACCTAATTTATATATATACATATATATATAGACACATTATTACTTTATACCAATCTTATTTTGTTTTATTTTAATTTAATAGGTTGAAAAGGTAAATGTTTTACTATTTGGTAATTTTATACACAATTTAAATAATGAATAAACGTATAATCTGTATTATATCGATAATCAATTGCACCGACAAGATATTATTAAAAACCATCGATTCTAGGTAAATTTTCCCAAAAAGAGCCCCGGGAGCCCGGAAGTAATTAAAAAACGCTGACATTTTTTTTTCGACAATTGATATAAATTTGCAATTATTAATATAAATATGTAGCTAATACATTTAAATTAAATTTATAATTTTTTATTATATAAATGCTCCATAAATAAGTATGTATAAATAATATGTAAATATATATACACGTCTACGAAACTAATAAATCATAAATTAATAGTAATTATTAGTTTCTTACTCTTAATCACTTATGCTATTTGCATAAAAAAAATTAAGATTCATATTTTCTTCACATCAACATTTCAAATTACAAAAAGAAATTTCGTTAAATTTTTTAAATAAACTATTATAACAAAATTTTTTTATCAAAATATAAGAAATAAATGCAATAATGTAATATTTTGAATATAACGAAACGATGAAAAAAATTAAAGAAACCAATAAAAAAATTTTTAAGAAAATACATAATTGTAATACACTATACAGTATATGCATATTTACTTCTTCTTCCAGCCAGAGCCCCTCTCTTTCTGCATGTTTCTCTTGTTCTCGTACTTCTTTTTCTTTCTCTTGTTTCTCTTTTTCCGCGCAAAATTGCATATATTCCATATTGTTTTCCAGTGCTGCCCTCAAGCGTTCTTCATTGGCGTCGCGTTCTTGTGCCATTATCTGTCGTTTACGTTTGCGACGCTCCTTCTTCACAATGCGACGCCACTCTTTATGACTGAGCTTTGTTTCTTGTTTTGAACATTCTTCCATCCTCGCGTATCCTCGGAAACAGTGGCAAGGCTGGAAGGTATTGTCAACAACGTACGAAACACTCAAAAATAATCACATTGAAATGAGCCGCCGGTCAACTGTTAACATCGATGTACGACGATGTCCGACGCCATATTGATTTCCGACAACTGCGTGATGCAATGCTGTGGTCTGATCGTCGGTATACAAAATCTTTAAAATAGAAGAATGCTAATTATGTGGAAGCTGCAGAATATTATTTGTGATATCAACACTTGGTGCAACGCTGGATTTTTTAAGATTCTATATTAATTTTATATTGTGAGGACCATGCTTGTTTAAATTTTATTAAAGATAAATTTATTATTTTTTTATACATTGTTAAGTGTTATTATTATCAAGATTATTTGATAATATATATTATATTACCTATGTATTATTAAATAAAACAGTATAATTTCTATAATACAATATAATGTATTTATAAAATAAGTATATCATCTGTAGATAATGTTTACTATTTTACCAAAAGATGGAGACACCGTGACTATTTTCGTGCGCAGATATCGACACAGAATGGGATCAATAAAAGATTAATCGCGCCAAAAATAAAAATGAGATTTTTAGATATTTTATAAGAGCGTGTAATAAATTTAATATCAAGTAATATTTTAAATATTAAATGTACTATTACACACATAATATTAAATAATATTCTTGAAATATTAATAAATGATTATATGTCAACTCTTCATAATGATTATGGCTATTAAGAAAATAATATCGCATGTTATTGTAAAATATTATATAGATAAATATAAAATTCTGAGAACATTTTAATAATTCCACGAATATCACGAATATACTTCCTTACATATTAGTCTTTACTAATATGTAAGGAAGTATATTATGTAAAGTGGACATGTAATATCAAGAAAATATACCTATAACATTAAAAAATATATAATCTCGAAACAATATTATTTAATTTTTAATAATATTCGTGTAATTTTACGAACATTTTATGCTTGTACAGTTAAGCAGGTATACATAATCGATTCTTATAATTAAGACCGTCTTAAGTATATAATTTAAATTGCCATAATCTAATCACAGTCATATTAGTATCTTAATGTGTCGTCTACAATACACGGAGTAAGAAGTAAGAGTAAGAAACTGATCAGTCACAGTTGACTATTCTTCTTGTATTCGATTGTGATTTGTCAATTTCTTACTTTTACCTCTTACTGCTTGTATTATAGACGCATAAGACATTATTTAAAATTGTTTTGAAATAAGGACTGACAATGAATACTTGCTTAAGAATCGTCCTCCGAAAATTTTTGTTCTAGCTCACTTTCTCTATGTGTTTTACAAAATAAATAATCACAGGGCAATGTCTTGATTCATCATTATGCTAAAAATGCATTGAAATAGGTATACTTAAATCAAATAAATTCATTCATAAAACTTTAGTTTACTGACTAAAAGCATATTGTTTTAATAAACACAATTTTACATATATAGTGTTCTTCTGCAGACAGGACAACTTCCTCAGTTACCTTGTTTACACCGAGCACTTAATATGCATATTAACCAGTAACTTTCTATAAAATTATTTAAATTTTTTCGGCGTATAAACGTATACGCGATATTACTATTTAATTAATTATCTAGATGCATATTATACGAGTTTTCACAGTTCTATAGCAATTAGAGCTTTAAGTTTAAATACGAAATGTTTTAGGGTCTGAAAGATTCGAATAGAATATTAATATTTTGATCTGCATCGAGCAGATCTTGATATTTTATCTTAGTTATAGTTTCATCTACTGAGCGATGCGTTCAAGTGACCTAACGCACTTTTAGGAATATTTGATAAGTTCATTATTTTTTCTTCAATCGAATCAGAACTCTAGAAATACATATATCTATAAATATATTGTTTGATAATTAAACTTTCCGATAAAATAAAATTTAATTATTTAAAAAATCGATTTTTTATTCGTCATCCTGGTATGTCCTTTTAAATAGCTCAAATTACCAACAAGTGTGCTATTTCTGCAATAAAATTAAGCGTTTTTGCGTAATATTATACAAGAATTTTTTTTTATTATTTATTGTATGAAATATAATACACGATCAATTTTATTAGTGATCAGCGAGCTCAACATTTTACACATTTTAAAAAGATTATTTATTAAAACATAGTATGATACAAAATATATCGTAATTAAACGATACAACTGCTGTTACTAAGAATGCAATTGTAAGTTTTACAAATTAATAAATGTTTGCTTAATTTGCTTTTATGTTTTCCTTACAGCAATTGGTGGATTATTTCCTTATTAGGAATATATATATATTTCTACTTGCTACGTCCCTGAACTGATACCGTTATACCTGGCGGAGCGTTGAACCAGAAACCGGTGCAGTGGAACCACGACCGTCATTCCACGATATACCACCGACAAGTGTACCTGAGTCCAAAAACAGTAAAAAGTTATTTGCGCGTAAACTTTTATTTTGCCTGTGAAGATGTGTAAATGACGACGACACGATAGGACATGTAATTTTTCGTGTAGAATTTCGTAAAATCTCCGACCAGAACAAGTAATTATCCATGCGATAGTGATTCAAAATGGGTATTTTGTGACCTGTTGCTTTAGAAGATAACATGGAAAGAGTCCAAGAAAATGGATTAAATGATTTGGGGCACAAAAGTGTTAAAACTAAGTTCTGGGCTTATATTTTCTGGTTGTTCGGTGGACTCATCGGAGCACATCATGTGTACCTCGGCAGAGACGATCAGGCATTCGTGTACATCAGCACATTCGGCGGTTATATAGGTTGCGGTTTTCTCAGGGACATTTATAGGATACCTGCGTACGTGGCCGATGCGAATAATGACCCGGCGTTTATTGAGGATTTTAAACGAAAAGTCAGAGCTAATCGGAAGGTAAATAAATATTTGGCGTTTAAAATCGACAGACTAGCATTAGCCAGTGACGTCGTTAGTCTTGAAATATATTTTTCAACATCAAACTTATACTACGATTGATGCCATTAACTTGTTCTACATCGCTGTTATTCGAAGAATTGATGACATTGAGCATTATACGATAATCACGTAAATGTTGAACCGTAATTTACTCGCTGACACATACAGTAATTAAGGATGTAAATGGAAGTTGTCAAAATAAATGCGATCCGTGACTAACGCTTTGTAAACCGATGACGAAATCGAATTTATTATTATTTTTTTTTACAGCCGCCGTTTTCCGCAGTGCGATTTGCGGCTCAAGCTGCGGTTGCTTACTTATGGGCCGAGTTGTTCAACAGTGCGATCCCGCAGGAGGAAGTGTACGGTATTAATTTCAGACATTTGCTGATTCTAATACCGGCTGTGATCGCGCTAGGTAAGAATAGTATTAGAAAAGAAAAAAAAAAGTTCATTTTATTATTATCACGCGCGTTTTCTTATCGCACATTTGTTACAAGTCGGTTATTTCGAATGATAATATTTTAAGGTCGCAATATGTGACGTATGTCACTGGTTAAAAATAATTGCTGATGATAAATGGAAAAAAACTATGGAAAAGCCGATACTAAATCTGTTTTTATCTGTTTTCTAACGAGCTCTTTATTAGAATACTATACCTTAAATTTCACGAGTCTTTTTTATTTAATTCAAATAGAATTCAGATTTTCTTTACCCGGAAAAAAATATTATATAAATGGACATATTTTATATATAATTA